TTTTCTAACTCAAAAAGTGTAAATTTCTGCGATTTTCTCTGTTGATTCTTGTAATCAAAGAAAGCGCAGGTCACTTTCTCGAGAAACCGCAAACGAAAATAAACAGTTTAAAGAAACAAAACATTGATATCTAATTTATACTTAATCAGAAAAAGCTTTAAGGTACCATTGTAAATCGGACATTGCCATCTTTGAGAGAAACTTGTATGTCTAAAAAAAATTTAGCCAACAAAGAATTATTTTTCCAAATGATTAATTTCTGCAACACAATTACAGTTGGAAAACATAAAGATTGAAAAGGGGGGAGGAGGGGGGAGGAAAAGATTTTTTCCTGTGAAAAAAAAAAACTGAAAGCATTTTATAATACCTTTGGATATGCATCAATCTGAGGTAAGGAACCAAAAGGATCTCTGTATATATTTTCATTCAAGGTATTTTCCCGCCTAGGACTTCCTTCATAAATAGAGTCTATCAATGTGTCTATATTTTCAGACTTTTGTTGGCGGGGAAGCTGTTGCAGAATAGAAAGCTGCTGCTGCTGCTGCTGACGAGGAAATTGGGGTTGCTGTTGAACTTGTTGCTGCTGGCGAGCTTGTTGTTGATTTGTGTTGATAGCAGGAAGTCTATTTCCTCTTTCTCCAGATTGTGAAGGGAAGCTTGAAAAACTACCAGTGTTTGCTCGTGGTTGAACTGTTTGACCAAATTGTTGGGATACTGGAGTAGGTTGGGCTGGCAAAGAAGTCTGATCCTGGGGCTTTATCCCATCAAACTTGTTAAAGAATTGACGTGGTTGCTTGCTAACAAGACCAGGTTCTACTGAATCTATAGGTACTGCTGAAGAAGAAATTAGTCCTCTCTGTTGCACCTCTGGTCCAGGAAGTTCTACAGGAACATGAGCAGCGTGAGGATGTTGCAAATGAGTCATTAACATTTTCTTCATAGCATCCTTCCCAACTGCTCCTCCACCATCACGCTCAACAGTATCTGAAAAGCTTGTCAACCCCTCAACAGGAATTAGTTCAGAGTTACCAATCCTTAGCTGTCCTTCTCCAAGGGATAGGCCCAGATCAGCTACATTAAGAAAAATAACCCTGTTTGTAGTATCACCCTTAACACGGAAACCCTGAACAACAGGTTCAGGATCCTTTCTACCCGGTTTTTTTAAACTGGACCTTGTCCTATCTCTTACTTCTAGAGATTGTGTTGGATGACTTGCTGGTTCCTGGAGAAGTTTCAACCCAATATTTTTAACCATCTTGGAAAACATAGGGACTTTGATGCCATCAATCTCAACCTGCCTTGCTGAATTTGGAAAGTCATCTTTGGAATCTTGTTGAAGCAAATTCAGCATTCTGTTTTTCACCATCTTTGAAAACATGGGAACCTCAATACCATCAATATCAACCATGTGTGAAAGAAGTCTTCCATGGTCAGGATGTTTTGGTAGTCTGGCCGAATCTAGGCTGCCCCCTGAACTCAAAAGGCTTAGTCGACTGTTCTTCACCATCTTGGAAAACATTGGAACCTTTATTCCATCCAGCTCAATCATATCATCAGGTACAGAAACTGCAGGGACAGGTAAAACTCTTACGGATCCAGAAGGGAAGAATATGTTAGGTTGATGGCGGATGTTACCATGCGGCTCATCCAGCAGTTGTTCAGACGGTTGAGAAAGCTGTACATGACTGGGCGAATAAAGCTGTCCAGTATTGGAAGAAAGAAATCGTAAAGGTCCACTGGAAGGGCGCTGGACAGAATGAACTTCATCAACTGGAAGATAAATGGATTGATCCAAGCGTACATTATGGGACTGATCCAAACCCGCATCATGTTGTCCAAAGACGTGAAAAGAATTTGGCTTGTCAATGCCTAAAATTCTTTCACTTCTCTCTTCCAGGCCTAAAATGGAAGTTAGCTTTGACCTAAGCTCTTCTGATGAAGACTCAGATGCCAATAGAAGAGATAAACGAGATCGGAGTTCTCCCTGTTCATTTTTCATATTAGGCTCAGATTGATTTGATCTTTGCTGCTCCTGCTCAATTGGTTTAAGCCCAGACTTCTGATCCTGAATGATTGGTCTTAGCCTAGGCTGCTCTAGCTCTATTGGTCTAGCTGACACCTTCTCTAATTGAATGGGTCTCAATCTTGACTGTTCCTGCTCCATTGTTCTCATCCTGGAATGCTCTGCTTGAGTAGGTCTCAATCGTAACTGCTCTGGTTCAATTGGTCTCACCAAAGGCTGCTCTAATTGAATGGGCCTTAGTCTAGACTGCTCCTGATCAATTGGTCTCAAACTAGGCTGCTCCAGCTGAATGGGTCTCAATCGTAGCTGCTCCTGTTCAACTGGTCTCAGACTATGCTGCTCCAGCTGAATTTGTCTTAATCTCGACTGCTCTTGTTCAATTGGTCTCAGACTAGGCTGCTCCAACTGAATAGGTCTTAATCTCGACTGCTCCTGCTCAATTGGTCTCAGACTAGGCTGCTCCAGCTGAATAGGTCTCAATCTTGACTGCTCCTGTTCAATTAGTTTCAGACTAGGCTGCTCAAGCTGAATAGGTCTTAATCTCGACTGTTCCTGCTCAATTGGTCTCAGGCTAGGCTGCTCCGGCTGAAAAGGTCTTAATCTCGACTGCTCCTGTTCAATTGGTCTCAGGCTAGGCTGCTCCAGCTGAATAGGTCTTAATCTCGACTGCTCCTGTTCAATTGGTCTCAGACTAGGCTGCTCCAGCTGAATAGGTCTTAATCTCGACTGCTCCTGTTCAATTCGTCTCAGACTAGGCTGCTCCAGCTGAATGGGTCTCAATCTGAGATGCTCCTGCTCAATTGGTCTCAGGCTAGACTGCTCTGGCTGAATAGGTCTCAATCTTGGCTGCTCTCGACTTGCTGCATCCGTTTCTATAGGACGAATAGAATTGGAATCTGGTTCAGGACTCAATAATGGGATTAACCTTCTCAATCCTTTGGCCTCTTCTGTAGGCAACATTATCCTCTCTTCTACTACTCTCCTGGACTCAAAATTAGGTCTGGCTATTCTTAACAAACCTTCAGGTTTAGGAACTGTGAGATCATTTTCTACTCTAGGACGCTGAATTTTGTTTTCTTCAGATCTCTGAGCTTGGGAAAAAAACCCTGCCCGATCCCTAAGCTCAGTTTCTAACAAAGCCTGCACGACCTGGCTCTGAATAGAGTCTAGAAGTTCCTCCTCAGGTCTCAACCTAGCATCCTGTGTATCCACCTCTTCAGGTTGGAACCTTGAGCTAGCTTCAGGATCTACATTAGGTCGGTCTCTAGTAGGGTTTACAGACAGTGGACGATTGAACCCAGCACCTGGCGTAAAAATTCAACTATAAAAATCATTTATGAAAACATTAACTCCTCTAATACAAGCTCGTAAACAATTTCTTAATATCTGAGATAACAAAATGAAAACGTAAAAAATTAAATAAATATTACCCAGAGAGTTACCTTTCGAGACTTCGGCTGCAACTCCGCCAAATGCTAACAAAAAAATATGTTAAATTAAAAAAATCAAGAACTAAAATAGACAAGTAATTTTAAGCTAACTTTTTATTAAATTAAGGAGTGCCAAGTAGTCATAAAAGATTAACCAACAGCTTTAAAGGGACCGTTCACTTATTTGGGTATTTTCAGGGTAAACTAAACAGCCTATTCGCTGTTGATTAGTAATAGTCTTACTTTTCAAAGACAACTGTGGCCGGAGAAAAAGCCGATTTTTCGTTCAGAATTCGAGCGCAAAAGGGACGGTCCCTCTCTATAGACACTAATTGATGTTTTTTTTCAGTATGTTGTGGATCAAAATAAATTTCGAATATAAAATTAAACTGTAGTATCTAATCGTTAATTGTAAATGTCATTATTTTTTAATTTTTGTTGTTTTTTAACTTTCTATTTCTAAAATAACACTATTTTATCGCATTCAAAATTGTGTATTGCCTGTGTAAAAAGCTGAATTGAACGCGGCATGACAAATGAAAAGTTGTGCACATGCGGGAAAAAATTTACAAAATCTACGAACCTAAATACGAGTAATGATTAATTGATTGTCGTAGAGACGTCGTCTTTGTACACACATTTTACATGTTTTAATGCGAAAAATGTAAATTTCTTGCTAACTCAAATATCAAAAGTTTTCATATTTTAGTACATAATAACGAACACATAATGACATTCAAATATAATAAATTTAAATGTTATTGGGCTGCTGTTACTGAAAAAAACATCAAATAGTGTCTATAGAGAGGGACCGTCCCTTTCCGCTCGAATTCTGAACGAAAAATCGGCTTTTTCTCCGGCCACAATTGTCTTTGAAAAGTAAGACTATTACCAATCAAGAGCGAATAGGCTGTTTAGTTTACCCTGAAATTACCCAAATAAGTGAACGGTCCCTTTAAGAAACTTTTTTAATTGTTGGATGAATAGGGGAAAGCAATGTCCTTGCAAAACTGAGGTAAAACAGTAATTTGTGGTTATATATGATAAAAAAGAAAAAGGTTCGTGGTTGACGTACGGTGGTAGGCGATTATATCAATATAATGAAGACGACTTTAGATTATAATTTTGATTCATATCAAGCTTTAAACAGCAAATATACACAAAAACATGGAAACAGAGAGAAGCGTTAATTATAAAAGCTTCTCTTTAATTGCATGTAAACTTGTAATTCGAAAAAAGCACGTTAACAATAAACTCGAATAAAAAGTAGTCTCCATTATAATGGATAATCGCGTAATAAACTAATTGAATATAAGAGAAGAAAAAATCCATCCTAAATATTGAGATTATTAACATTGATCTAATAGTGGTAAATTTTTCCCTTAAAAAAATATTTCAGCCGTGTATAAGTTTAATCGTTCAAAAATATTTTTGAATGTTTGTAGCATTTTTAACAACCTACCTTTGCGGCCTGGTCCAAAAAATGATGATCTCCTAAACCCCGGATCTAAATATCAAACAGAATGTGAGATTTTATAAGAAAATTTGGAACTTGGACGACCATGAATAAGGGTTTGATGAAAAGGTAAATATATAAAAGTATAATATTTTCAAAACCATGGTACAGCAGTTTTTGTTCTCATGAAAGGGACAGACCGGCTATGTAAAGTAGTTAAACAGAGTATGCAGTGTTGTGGACAAAGTCGACGTTTAAAATCATGAATTTGGGCGAGTTTGTTTTCAGAATTGGGATTTTTTAAATTATTGAATAACGACGACGAAAAATATAGTAAAAATTCTTAAGTAATCTAATTAGATGTTTAAGAACATATTTCTCAAAAGAAATTTGTCAATAAATCGAAGTTAGAATTAATTATTTCCTTCAATTATATTGATTTTTTTATTTTCTATGAATTTAATCGGAGATTTCTTCAAACGTCGTCTTTTTAATAAAAATTCCAGAAAATCTGCAGAAAATCTGCGATTAAAGAGAGATAATAGAAACTAAAAATTGAAAAAGATTACATAATTTTTATTTTCTCAATCTGTTCCTTATCAACTATTTAGTTTACTGTAGAATCGTGTTTACATTTTTTGTCGTCGTTAATTAATAATTTAAAAAAAAACAATTCTTAAAACGTATCCACCCAAAAGTACTATTTTGAACGTCGACATTAACGAACTCAGGGTTTACAGATCTTTTAATAAGTTTTATATTTCTCAAATGAATCCTTAAAGAATTTGTCCACAACACTACATACTCAGTTTAACTACCTTACATAGCCTGTCTGTCCCATTAAACAGAAAATTTCTCAAAAAGGAAAACATCAAATTTTTAATTAAGTTCAAACTCGGAAAGAGGCACATTAACAGACTTCAAGCAAATTTGGTTCTTTTTTTGCAATTTGGTTCTTTGCATTTTGGTACATTTTTTGCATTTTGGTATACATTCTGATTGAAGATAATCCTGCGCTTCAAAACATGATTTAATTAGAATGTCAGAATAACCAAATCTTAACATTTTCTGAAGTTTAAGGATTTAATTAAGAATTAAAAATTAAGCTTTTTAAATAGCAACAGTATTGAAATATTTAATTGAAGCGGATCAAATTCATTTTAACCTCTAAAGAAAAATAACAATGAGAAAGGTTTATGAAAAGAACAAGTTTCTTTCAACCAAGACAATCTTTACAAAAGTACTATCCAATTGAGGCCTGAGCTGTGTACAGGAAAAATGATCTGAAAAACCTTAAACTTCGTTCTGATGTTAGATTGACTAACAGGTAGGTGTTAACAGGTAGGTGTTGAACACCTACCTGGTATTTGAATATGATATCTCGGCGAAAAAGCTTTAAAAACCAGGAAAAATGGGGAAAAATTTTTTTTCCCATCATTTTTTATTTTACTTAAAAATTTCATTCAGATTTTTTCAAGAATTAAGACAGGATTCCCAAATGTATTCAAATTGGCCAAACTCACCCACCTTTGAAATGTATCTATATATAAGTTGTAATCTCTGTTTGTCTGTCCGATCATAAATCAGGAACCCCCGGACATATTTGCCTCAAATTTTGATTAGAGAACTATGGAGACTCGCAGGAATGTTCTTAGCTCATGAATTTGAGATTCCAAGGTAAGTGAGTAGACTTTAAAATATTTAGTTTCCAGGGAAAATCGTTCAAGTGGGGGTAAACGGCGGGAGAAACTTTTAGTAACCTGGGCAGCGCTGGGTTCCCAAGCTAGTTCTATTAAAGACATAAGCCCATAGTTCAGAAAAATATATAATATGAAATTACAAATTATATACAAGGTTATCCACAAAGGATTAGACTGAGACGACCAAAAACTCTTTATATAATTATTGCCGGCGCTTTGTCATTATAGTCCTTCAATAATTTGTCCTACTGTGCGGGGACAACTTCATTTGTCCTACAAAACATTTGTTCTACACATTATTTGTCCTACAGATCATGTAAGTGTTGTACATATTACACGAGATATTGCACTTATAAAATGAAGTTGACAAATAAATGCAGCAAATTATATCTAAGATCAAAGACGACCTTCAAAACCGTCTTGCTGCTGTCCTGTTTCGTGAGACACCCTGTACATAATTCGTTTTTATCCTAACTAGGCTTTTTGGGCGCTTCGTGACCATCTTCTATTTGCTCTCTTTGTATACATTGTAAAACAAAAACAACTTTCGTGGATTTTAAAATTTTTAAAAATCGAATTTTGTTAAAAGTAAATTTTTGTAAATTCGATCATCCATAACCCTTCCCAGGGTCACGAGAGGTCCCACACAAAAAATGGGCCCTATCGGTTTATATAAATAAATGATGTTGCAAACTGACCAAATCTAATTGATTTTACCTTTCTGTTGTAAACCTGGATCCAGTTTAACTTCTTCCTTCTCTCCGGAGCAAACTTGAGCAAAGTAAAATTAAATAAAAAAATATATATTCCTATAATTGCGTACTATATTAATAATAAAAATGTTTAAAATTTCGATTATGTAAACTGTACAGTCTTTATCAGAAATCGGGAATTAATTTATAATTAATCAGACGACTTTACAATCTTAATTTAGCACATGATGAAACATTATCACAAAATAGCCCTAGAGTCCTGCCATTTCTAAAATAAGGTCTGCCGTCTTTGAGCATTTTAAATTACCAGAGATATATATGCAAAGACGCCTGATTAACTGTTAATTAATTCCGGGTCTTTCTGATTAATGACTAACCAAAAAAATTAGCTTTCCTCAAACTTTTTTTTAGCTTTTCTCCAAACTAAAGGAAGTGCAAGGGGACAAAGTCGTAACACTATGTCGCATATTCTAATTTAATCCTTCCGTGAAGCGTGACACTATTATATTTGTCAGACGAGGGAGGGAACCCCCGGATGCCATGAACCTCCGCACTGCAGACATGAGCCTCCCGGATTTGCTAGGCAGACCGAGCATCCGCCATGCAGCAAGAGTTTCCGCTATGCAGTAAACGAGCCTCCGCTATACATCATAGCTTCCTGGCAACTCGAGGTTTTTACATGTTATATAGAATTTTTTTTTCATTTTTTTCAACATAGAGGCACAAGAATTTTACTTAAGATTAATGTTTTTTGATTTTCATGATTTGTAACTTAAATGACTCATAAAAGTGGTTTATAAGATTTACGTTATTCAGTAAAAAACTTCTTACGCAAGTAATTGGAGGCTATTTTGAAATTCATTTCTGAATTGAATTTAGTTTATTTTGTTTTATCTTTGATTCAAGCAATGCCTTTTCCCGTAAGTTTTTAGATTCTTATTGTTTGTCAATGTCAAATTTGATTATCTTATCTGATAACAATTTCAAAAAAGGTATCGCTTAAATCAAAGATTACAAAATATTTCAGAATTTTTTCCTTTGATGTTTTCCTTTTAGCGCAAATTTTTGTATATTATTAACCCTTTTACTAGTCATAATTAGTCACTACTTATAATAATTGATTAATACTTTTGATCTTTGATAAACTTTTTATGTCGCTTTTTCCAAAAAATACGAAAAATTCTTAACTACATGTAAAACCCAAGAGTTTTAAGGAAACTATTCTGTTTAGCAGAGGCTTGTACAGTATAGCGGAGGCTCTTACTGCATGGAGGAGGCTTGGTCTGCCTAGCAAATCTTTAAGGCTCGTGTCTACAAATCGGAGGCTCATGGCATCCGGGGGTTCCCTCCCTTGTCAGACGAGGGAGGGGGTGCAGAGGCGCCATGATCCCCGCAAAAATGACCTCCGAGCCTCCGGATTTGCAGAATTTGGTGCGCAAAAACTCGTATATTATAGGACAGATCCTCATTAAATTTCATTTTTATGATAAAATATAATGCTAAGGAATCGAGAGTTAATAAAATCTTCAAATCATCATGCCTTCAAAAATATTAGATAAGTCGTTTATGAACGTCGTCTTTTACTCATTCCATCTTAAATGTAAACTTTACAAAAAACAACTCCAGAACAATTGAATGAATTAACATGTCAAAATTGTTGATTAAACGGTTCTTAAAACTATGACGGAGTCTACTATGAAGAGATATATTTTTATATTTGTTTGGTTAAGCCAATAAATTTAAATAAAAACAATAAGCGGAGACCAAAATGCGGGGCGTGGAGACAGAATGGCGGGAGGCTTGGTGACGTCACTGAGGCTGGGAGACCAGTTTTGCGGGGCCTGGAGGTTATTCTGCAAATCCGGAGGCTCGGAGGTCATTTTTGCGGGGATCATGGCGCCTCTGCACCCCCTCCCTCGTCAGACAGAGGTTGTAACTCGAATATGGCACAGTATAAATATAAGTGGGAATTTTTTAATTTTCGGATTTATTCATGGGAAAATTTAGTTCATTATTTTCCTCGTTATTTTCATCAAAAAATCTTCTAATTTTTTATGAAAATGTAAAAGTATAAAAATGAATTGATAACGAATTTACTTTAAAATGAACCCTTGTTCTAATTTTTAAGACCTCCATTAAAGTACAATACATATAAATTTAGACAACCAAGGGGAGTGGGGGAAGGCAGGCGGCCATGAGCCACCACTATTTCCCCTTCCGTGCCACAGCATTTGACTCTTCCAGGCGAAACTACTTTTTCGAATATTATCTTTAGGGTCTTGAAGTGTGATTTTCAAAAATCCAGCCGTGGTGGCTTATGGCCCCCTGCCTTCCCCGCTCCCCAGGGTAGAATGGTTCAATAAATTGCAGGAAAAACGGAGTTTTTCGCTACAAACTAAAATTTTATCATCCCTATATGTTTGCAACCTGATGATATTTCAAACTATTTGATCGAACAGAATTCATAGTTTTAGTTATAAAAGGTCTACGACATTGGGCTTATAAGATAGAGGAATTGAAAATCTTAAGTTAGTATTAAAAACTCAGTTCCTTTCTACCCAAAGTAGCAGTTTACTATAGTAAATCCACTCTAAGAGTTTACTCAAGGGTTTTAGAAACTTTGAAAAAAGTAATATTTATCTTTACCTGCAAGGAATGACAGGATGGCAAGCCGATAAACCAACAAACTTCTCATAGTAAAGCCAGTCAATCCTAAACCATAATATGTAGATTTAATTTATCCTTGGAAGAGTTTTTCCGAATCCATTAATTGCCACTTATTTTATTAAAACCTTTTTATAAATTTTGTAGAGAAGAATAAGTTTTTCCGAATATTTAACGTGAAAGAACAAATCATATTTTCAATTTGTTCCTATGAGTTATGACCATCAAAAATTGACGTTGACCTAAAAAAATAAACGTATCTATCATTTGTTTTTTTTAGCAATGAAGCAATGACACTCAAAAATAATCATTGGAGTGCTATCGAAGACCCCTTCAGTCATTGGAGTACTGTAGCTGAGACCCCTTCAGTCAAGATGAAAATCTTGCGAGTCTTCAACAAAAATCTTATTTCTGTTAAAATGTTGGGATCTTTTATCAAAATCTTAGTTCTTTTTTAAAATTTTTGGGTCTATTAAAATCTTGTTCTTTTATTAAAATCTTGGGGTCTATCAACATTTTAGTTCTTTTATTAAAATTCTGGAGTTATTTTTTTAAAATCTTAGGGTCTATCTTGGGATCTTTAATTAAAATTTTGGAGTCTTTTATTAAAATCTTGCGAGTCTTTTATAAATGTCTTGAGGCCTTTTATTAAAATCTTAGTTCTTTTATTAAAATCTCGGGGTCTATTAAAATCTTGGGTTCTTAAATTGAAATTTTGGAGTCTTATGAAAATCTTTGAGGTCCGATGACCATCTTGGAGGTCGAGTCCACTGAAAATCTTGAGTCTCGAATGAAAGTATATAGAGTGCCAAAAAATCTAGCATCTCTAATGAAAAGATCGGGGTCTCAAATTACTAATTTGTTTGATGAAAAACTCATAACACATGATAAGTGCAGATACAGAAGAAATTGTTGAGAGCCAAACCTGTAACTAATGAAAGATAGTGAGTTTTTTTTTACTTCAGACGAAATTTCCTGAGACCCTCCCAAAGATTGGCACATCAGAATTACAATAACCTTTAAACCAATTTGTCTGATCAAAAATAAAACTATAACCTTTATACGAATTTGTCTAGTCAAAAATTTAAAGTTTAAGCCAATTTGTCTAAGCAAAAATGAAACGATAACTTTTAAACCAATTTCTCTGATCAAAAATGAAACGATAACTTTTAAACCAATTTCTCTGATCAAAAAATGATATGATAACCTTTAAACCAATTTGTCTAATCAAAAATGAAACGATAACTTTTGAACCAATTTCTCTGATCAAAAATGAAATGATAACCTTTTAACCGATTTCTCTGATCAAAAATGAAATGATAACCTTTAAACCAATTTGTCTGATCAAAAATGAAATGATAACCTTTTAACCAATTTGTCTGATCAAAAATGATTCATTCCTGAAAATTTAACATTTTTATTCTCTGTTTCTCTTCAATCAAAGATAGCGTGGGAATTTGTCTCATCAGAATTAAATGATAAATTAATGAAACAAAACATTAAAATCTAAAACGACGATATTTTCCTTGATTTGTTCCACAGATTAGCGGTCTAATTAGCGGTGTGAATCTGATATGCCAGAACAAAGCGAACTTGGTTA